AATAATAAAATAATTAATATTTATTATTTAATAATTAAAATCACTCTACCTATTAATATTTTCAAATTATATAACCCCAATAATTTCTAGGGCAAAGTTGTACGGATTGCCGAACATGCACTTATTTACATAGGCAATTGGGAAATGCCTTTAAGGAGCTTCAAAGATAGCTTGCCCTTTATTATTATACGTCCTACCTTGATAACTAGTACTTTTAAAGAACCATTTGCTGGTTACATTGAACGTTTAAGGTAATTAGCAGGGAGACACTCCTAATAGCATACTTTCTTAAATAACAAAGACCAAGAAACATTTTACCTTTTTTTTTTTTTTAGAAGTAGTTTCAAGAAATAATTAGACAAGATAGTCATCATAGAAACAATAACAGATATTCACAAGATACATATAATTCTCAAACAGCCAATTATAAAATCAAGGTATTACTAAATTTTGAATTAATTATCAAAGAAAAAAATATCTCTCACTTGCAACATCTATGCAACAAAATATGTGTAGGCTCATTTGATTATAATTATACCATGCTAGAAAATTATACTCACATGCATGCATCAATGCTCTAAATCTTAAAAACACAACAAAAGCAAGAACACAAAAATATCCTCCCCAAACTTAAAATTAACATTGTTTGCAATATTAAAAAGAGATAAGAGAAGAAAAATAGTACTCCCCTAGGTTGCTCTTCCTATAATAGCCATGCGATGCATTCCTCTATAGCCAAAGGATTGTGTTGTAGTTGTCGAAGATGCTGCAAGTACAATGAACAAGCTAACCCACTAAAAAACCTCAATACAAATTAGTAAAAAGAAAAGTCTCCATGTCCAGCTTGAATGATGTCTCTCAAGCCAACTTTAAACTCATTGCATCTTTTACATCGAGCATCAATCATCTACATGTGCTTCGAATCATCAGGCTCCTTTCTGACCATCTCTTCTGCTATTAAACCCTCCTGAATGTATAGGGAGATCAAAAGTAGCAGTGATGGTAACAGCAAAAGTAGCTATGACAAGAAATACTAAAGATTATACCTTCAATTCATTGGAGGACATGTTCAAAAGAAACAACTAAAAGAAAATTAGCATGAAAAAAAAAACACTTAAGCTATAAATAACGGGTTTTTTGTTTTGTTTTTGCTTCTTTTTCTTTTCTTTTTTTTGCTTTTTTTTTTTTATGGGTTGCCTCCCATTAAGCACTTTTTTATAATCGTAAGCTTGACTATCACTACAAAACTGTCAAGGATCTTTCAATAAAACAATAGAACTAAATGCAAGAAAATTACCATCTTCAACATAAATTTTCAGCCTTTGCCCATTCACCTTAAAAGTTCCCTTGGTGTCATGTGAAATGTCAACAACTCCATAAGGGAAGACCTTGGTCACCACAAAAGGACCACTCCATCGTGATTTCAACTTACCTGGAAAAAGTCATAATTGAGAATTGAAAAGAAGAACCTTGTCACCCACGTGAAACTCTTTCTTTTGCACATGTAGATCATGCCATGCCTTGGTTCATTCCTTATAATCTTGGCATTTTCATATGCACCAAGTCATAGTTCTTCCAATTCATTCAACTGCAATTTTCTATTTTCACCTACATCTTTCACATCAAAATTAAGATATTTAATAGCCCAATATGCCTTATGCTCAAGTTCCACAGGAAGGTGACAAGCCTTACCAAAAACTAACTTATAAGCGGACATACCTATAGGAGTTTTGTAAGCTGTCCTATAAGCCCAAAGTGCATCATCTAATTTAAGTGACCAATCTTTCCTAGACAAGTTAATTGTCTTTTCCAAAATTCTTTTTAATTCCCTATTAGACACCTCAACTTGCCCACTTGTTTGGGAGTGATATGGAGTAGCAATTTTATGGGTAACACCATATTTAGCCAATAAATTTTCAAATTGCTTATTACAAAAATGCTTGCCTCCAACACTAATTACAGTCCTAGGTGTGCAAAATCTAGTGAAAATATTACTCTTCAAAAATTTAACAACCACCCTAGCATCATTAGTAGGACATGCAACAGCCTCTACCCATGTACTCACATAATCTACCGCAATAAAAATATACTCTTTACCAAAAGATGAAGGAAAAGGACCCATGAAATCTATACCCCCAACATCAAAGATGTCACACACTAAAATATTAGTCAAAGGCATTTCATGTCTCCTAGAAATATTACCAATTCTTTGGCACTGGTCACATGCATTCACAGAAGCATAAGCATCTTTAAACAAAGAAGGCCAATAAAATCCACATTGCAAAACCTTAGATGTTGTTTTGGAGGCACCAAAATGACCACCAGCTTTTTTGTCATGAGAAAAACTCAAGATTGCATCTACTTCTTCTTAGGGTACACATCTTTAAATCATTCCATCACCACATTTCTTGTAAAGAAATGGTTCCTCCCACAAATAATGTTTAATATAAAAAAAGAACTTCTTTTTCTATTGAAAAGATAAGTTATGAGGTAAAACATTACTAACAAGACAATTAAAAAAATCTACATACCAAGGTAAAGAAGAAAGAGCACACAAAGAAACTAAACACAATTGCTCATGTAGAAACTCATCAAGCAAAGGTTGATCATCCCCACATTCCACATGCGCCTCATCTAACTTGGACAATGATCCACAATAGAATTTTCTATACCTTTTCTATCCCTAATTTCTAAGTCAAATTCTTGCAGCAACAAAATCCATCTCAACAATCTAGGTTTGGCATCCCTTTTAGCAAGCAGATATTTAAGTGCAGAATGATAAGTATAAACAAATACCTTGGACAAAATTAAATAAGGCCTAAACTTTCAATTACAAACACCATTACAAGCAACTCTTTTTCAGTAGTAGTGTAATTCTTTTGAGCATCATTCATTGTTTTACTTGCATAATAAATGACGTGAAATTTCTTATCTTTTCTTTGTCCTAAAACTACACCTAAAGCATCATAGCTAGCATCACACATAATCTCAAAAGGCAAGTCCCAACAAGGTGTGACAACAATTGAAAAGCATTCATACAATCATCATAAAAAAAAAATGGTGTTTCCTTAACCAAAAGATTAGTAAAAGGTCTAGCAATTTTTGAAAAGTCCTTAATAAATCTCCTATAAAAACCTGCTTGTCCAAGAAAACCTCTAACTTCTTTAATTGATTTAGGAGGAGCAAGCTTTTCAATTATTTCAACCTTAGCTTGATCAACTTCAATACCCTTAGAAGATACTTTATGGCCTAGCACTATACCTTCCCTAACCATAAAATGGAACTTCTCCCAATTCAATACTAGGTTAATTTCCTCACATCTTTTAAGCACCCTAGACAGATTATGTAAGCATGCCTCAAATGAAGAACCAAAAACTAAAAAATCATCCATAAAAATTTCCATAAACTTATCAACAAATTCAACAAATAAAGACATCACACATCTTTGGAATGTACTTGGAGCATTGCACAATCCAAAAGGCATTCGTCTAAAAGCAAAAGTACCATATGGGCAAGTAAATGTTGTTTTTTTCTTGGTCCTCTAAGGTAATGGGAATTTAATGATAACCAGAATAACCATCTAAGTAACAATAATATTCATGTCCAGCAAGTTTCTCAATCATTTGGTCAATAAATGGCAGTGGAAAATGGTCTTTTCTAGTAGGTTCATTAAGTTTCCTATAGTCTGTACACACTCTTCACCCTGTTATTGTTCTAATGGGAATCAATTCATCATTTTCTTTTTTTACCACAGTTGTCCCACCCTTTTTTGGCACTACTTTCACAAGACTTACCCAAGTACTATTAGAGATAGGAAAAATAATACATGGATCCAACCATTTGATTACCTCCTTTTTTACCACCTCTTGCATGTTAGGATTAAGGTGTCTTTGTGGCTAAACAATTGGCTTGTACCCATCCTCTAACAAGATTTTATGCGTACAAACTGAAGAACTAACTCCTATGATGTCCGTTATGCTCCATCCTATAACTCCTTTATGTTTTTGCAACAGCATTAAGAGTTTCTCCCCCTCAATTCCTATCAAAGAAGCAGAATTATTACCAATAAGGTATTTGAATTGCCTAAGTAAACATACTTTAATTGAGAAGGAAGGGGTTTTAATGCAAGAGTAGGAGGCTCCTCTTTAGAAGGCTTGACTTTCACAGTAGATGAAGCATCTAGGGGCAAAAAATTTCCTCCTTTTTGAGGCTGCCTATTGCATTTTTCCCCAAGATAAGCTGTTGCCTCTAAAATGTTATTGTTTGCATTATCAGCTTTTATTTCCAAAGCATTAACAATACAATTATCAATATGATCATCTAATTTAGAAGCATTAAAATTTTTAGCCACTAAATTATCTATTACATTAATCCTTAAAACAACACTTCCATCATAATCAACATTTTTCATATCCTCAAACACATTAAAAACTATCTCCTCATGATGTATTCTAAGACTAGTTTTCCTTGTTGAACATCAATAAGAACTCTACCAGTAACAAGGAATGGTCTCCCAAGAATTAAAGGCATTTCAAAATCCTCTCCCATGTCAAGAACAATAAAATCAATAAGAAAAATAAATTTGTCAACCTTTACCAAAACATCCTCTACCACTTCTCTTAGATATTTAATGCCCCTGTTTGCGAATTGAAGAGAGATTGTGGTAGATGAAGGTTCACCTAATCCAAGTTTCCTAAATACATGAAAAGGTATCAAATTAATACTAGCACCTAAATCACATAAAGCCTATCAAAATTAACATTGCCAATAATACAAGGTATAGAAAAACTCCCTGAATCGTTCAACTTAGGAGGTAACTTATTTTGAAGAATGATAGAGTATTCTTCATTTAACTTTACCATCTTGAACTCCTCTAACTTCCTTTTATTGGTAAGGATTTCCTTCAAAAATTTTGCGTAACTTGGCATCTGCAAAATAGCATCAAGAAGAGGAATATTAATATGTAACTTTTTAAACACCCTTAAAAACTTAGAGAATTTCATTTCTAAGTTAGCTTGCAAAAATCTTTGAGGAAAACGGATTTTGGGCTTACAAGGTTTGACATTCGAATCATGAAAAAGTGTTTTAGGCATCTCCTCTTGCTTCAATTCACCAGCTTCCACACCCTTTTCATTCTCATCTGATTTTCCTACATTTTTAAGTTTTTTTCCACTCCTCAAAGTTATAACCTTTAGTTGCTCCCTTGGATTCTTTTCACTGTTGCTTGGCAAACCCCCTTGAACTCTTCTAGAAACCATATCAACAATCTATTCAAGTTGTGTTTCTATGTTTTGAATAGTTGCATCTTGATTTTGGAACCTTATTTCTTGGTTTTGAAACTGTGCATCTGAACTGGAATTCTATCTTGAAACTGATTGAATTGGGTTGATCTTGCAAAATAACAATTGTAGCTTTGCTTCTTAGCTTTCTAACACCTCAAGAATCACCTCAATCTGATAGGCAAAGATAAAGTTATGGCAAAATTATTATAGCATGTGCAAACTGCCATTTGTTGAAAAATTAATTCCTATTAAATTTATTCTTTAATCTTTAGCTACAAAACATGAGATAGATGTAAATTAAAGTGAGACTGAGTTATAAAATACCCATAAAATTAATTTCCAAACTAAAAAGAAGGGTGGATAAATGTAGAAAAATTAAACTTTAAAGTTAGAAGCAATGTTGTGGAATGTGCTGGGTGCTTTTACGTGGCAGGCCCTCATCGAAACCACCGTGGTGATTTGTGTGCCACTTAAAAAAAAAAGGCAAAAACACTTCTTGTACACCCAAACTTATCCCAAAATAGCATTTAAGCTCTTAAACTAAAAACGACATATATAAGCCCTCCAACTCCATTAACAATGCAAATAAGCCCTTCTGCTTCGCTTAATATCACCTTGAAAGCACAAACACCCATGAATGAGAAGAGCTTATTTACACCGTTAGTGAAGTTAAAGGGTTTATTTATTTGCTTTGTTTTTAGTTTAGGGACTTAAATGCTATTTTGGGTATGTTTGGGTGCTTTAGAAGGGTTTTTGCCTAAAAAATTTTAGAAAGATTAAGAAAAAAATTATTTAGAAGTCTAAAATCAATTAATTAACAAAACTTAATAAAAGTCTTAAATCAATATAAACTGAAATCAATTAATTGATGTGACGAAGAAGACAAATTCAAGGAATAGAAAACCTTAATGACTGGCATTTAATGTTTTGGGCTCTTTGTTGACTTTTTGTGAATCAATCAATATTGTTTGTATTTTTTTGATATTTGCTTCCGATGTATTTTACATTTTACTTTGGTTTGGCTTCTAATTAAATTCCTTTTCTTTGTAACCTCACGATCCTAAGGAGTGCATCCTCATTAAAAACTTTAAAATATTACAATAATAAGAAGTTTAAAATTTTTATCTTTATTGGTGACAGTTATGTTGAATAACAATATTGATGAAAAGAAAGGTTGTCTAAAATTTGTCTAAAAAAATATATTTTTTCTAATATTTTTTATGTAAGTTCTTTATATTTTCCTCACATTATGCAAAATTTAAATATGTTTTTTTAATTCCATGGCCAAGCAAACTTATAATTGTTTTTTTTATTATTACTTTTTACTATTTACCTATCAAATGTAATTATATACTATTTTTTTGAGCAAATAATATTGTTACTAATATAAAAAATACAAATTATATATTTTATGACATATTAACCACACCGGTATTATCTAGTTAAAGTTAGAAATAATGTTGTGGAAGGCATTGGGTGCTTCTACGTGGTAGGCCTTTGGCCAAATCACCTTGGTGATTTGTGCGCCACTTAGCAAAATTTATAAAAATTAAGGAAAAAATTATTTAAAAGTCTAAAAGTAATTAATTAACAAAGCTTAATAAAAGTCTAACTTCAATAGAAACTAAAATCAATTAGTTGAAATGAAGGGGAAGACAAATTGAATATCTTGGTACTAAGTTTTCAATCTTTTCTCAAGGAACAGAATACATTGACACAATATTCTTATCCTTACACTTCTAAATAGAATGGGTAAGCTAAATGAAAACATAGACACATCCTTGATTTTATTCGTGCTCTACTCATTTCGTTTTCTTATCCAAAGTGATTTTGGGGTGAATCTACTCTTATAGTTGTTTATCTCATTAATCGCATTCCAACATCAGTCCTTAATAACCAATCTCCCTATAATCGTTTGCATGGTATTCTTCCTAACTATGATCTTCTTAACATTTTTGGTTGTGCATGTTTTGTTCTTCTTTCACCTCTTGAACATTACAAGTTAGAGCCTAAAGCTCAATTATGTTGGTTTTTGGGTTATGGGATTACACAAAAAGGATATTGTTGTTGGGATCCTCTGTCATGAAAACTCTAAGTTTCACATCATGTTATCTTTTGAGAACACATTATGTTCTCATCATTGCCAAACATCAAAGTGTCATATTTTCATCAACCTCCATTACTTACTAATCCTGCAATTGAGTTATTTCCTAGTGATTATGATGGAGGTATATTTGATGAACTCTACAATGCCTCACCACATTCTTCAACTAGCTCTACGAAAAATGATCTGCCTGCTAGTAATATATTAGATAATTCTAAGCCTTCCCTCACTTCCTCATCTATATCACTTGTTGATGTTGCATCTGATATTGCTAAGTTTGCAAAAAAGATTGTTATCCCACCCTCGAGTCATCTTACTCAAGTAAGAAATCCCCCCAACTACCTTTGTGATTATCATTATTTTCCTACTCTTACTTCGTTACAAAAGCCTTAATCCTATCATGAGACCTTTTCTAATCCTCTTTGGTAGCAAGCTATGCAAGATGAATTACAAGCTCTTAAAAACACTCATACATGGGATTTAGTTGATCTCCCTGCTAAAAAGTCTCTAATAAGCTATAAATGGTTATACAAGATCAAAACATGATTTGATGGTTTTGTGGAGCATTATGAAGCACGATTGGTTGCCAAGGGTTTTACACATTAGTATGGAATAGACTATGAGGAAACATTTGCTCCAATTGTTGTCTCACATCTATTCACAGCTTGTTTGCCATGCAAGAATGAATTCATTGTCATGGAAGCCCTTTCTTTACTCCTCAATATAGTCTAGGATAACATTTTTCTAACAACTCTCATGGCTTGAGGAAAAGGCCTATCGTTGCTATACTAAGATGGAAATTGTTTCAGGTGGATGTGAAAAATGCTTTTCTTAATTATGACCTAGAAGAAGAAGTTTATATGAAGCTACCTCTTAGACGTAATCATCTTTCAAACAAGGTATGCCAATTGAGATATGCATTATACAATTTGAAACAATCCCCTCAAGCCTGGTATGCAAAGTTCAATTCTACTTTGAGTGAGTTTGAATTTACTTCCAGTCTATATAATACAACTCTATTCATTCGTAAGACTACTTGAGGCATGGCTCTTTTCCTTTTTATATTGATGACATGATTATTACTGGAGATGATATCACAAGTGTTCATGAGCTAAAATGGTTTCTTAGTTCGAAATTATTCTAATCTAGTTTCTAGTGCTTGAAGTCACCTCTTCATGTGATAGCTACTTTCTTGCTCAAGTAAAGTATGTCTCTGATCTTGTTTCTAAAGTTGAAGTCAATGATAGCAAGAGTGTTTCCACACCTTTTGAACCTATTGTTAAGTTTATACTTCTTGATCGACCTCCATTTTCTAATCCTACTCTTTGTTGGCAATTAGTTGGTAATCTAGTTTATCTTACCACAACACACCCTGACATAGCAGCGTATGCAGTTCACATTGTTAGTCAGTTTATGGTTGCTCCTTACTCCACTCCTTATGCAGTAGTACTCACATTATTTGCTATGTTTAGGGAACATTGTTTTATGGACTCCATTTTTTTGCTAACTCTTCCAATGGGCTTTGTGCTTACTCAAATGGTGATTGGGTTGGTGATCTTTTTTATCGCAAATCTACCACTAGTTGTTGTCTTTTCCTTAGTAATTCTCTTATCTCTTAGTGGAGCAAAAAACAAACTATTCCATCTCGCTCTAATACTAAAGCTGAGTATAAAGCTCTCAATGATACCACATAAGAACTTCTTTCATTACAGTGGCTTCTTGAAGATATGGGTATTCCTCAGCCTTCTTCTATTGATTTATATTGTAATAATCAAAGTGCTATACAGATTGCTCACAATGATGTCTTCTATGAATGCACAAAACATATTAAGGTCGATTGTCACTTTATCCGTCATCATATTGCAAAGGTAACTATTCCTTTGATTTTCATTAGTTTTTACTGTTCAACTTGCAGAATTGTTCACCAAGGCTCACTTCCCTAAACGCTTCCAAACTCTTTTTTCCAAACTCTTTTTTCCAAACTCAAGTTGGTTTTCTCACTACTACCTTGAGTTTGCAAGGAGATGTTAGAATATATTAATTTAGTTAAGAATATTAGCATTCATGTTAGAATATTATGTTCATATTATAATTGATTATATACATTTAAACTAATTGGTTTTATACGTAGGAATATTCACTACAAAAAAATGGCTATTTTCCAGTGCTTAATGCGCTAAAAAATAGGTAAAAAGCGTTGGGAATAAATTATTTTCCAGTGCTTAACATTAGAAAATGTTGCTATAAAAATATTGACTAGAAAATAGTTATTTTCCAAGACAGGGAGTGTGTTGAAAAATAATTTACAATATTTTACAACATAGTGCACTGAAAAATACACGTAAACGGCATGCAAATGACAGCTAATTGAGCTAGAAATCTTCCAATGCTACACACTGGAAAAATATTGCTAGTTATTTTCCAGCATGATACGCTAGAGAATAATCTTGAGGACAGTACATTTATCAAGTTATTTTCCAGTGCATTATCTTTGCAATAACAGTCAACAACCCAATAACTTCCATTGCTCAGCGTTGTAAAAAAAAGTTAACTTATTTTCCAGCGCTTCCTGCTGGAAAATGATCTTGAGAATGAGCTACATCATCAACTCATTTTCCAGCACAATACGTTGGAAATTTGTCTGCAAATAAAAAAAAATGAACTTACTCTTAGTTTCCAACAAAATGCACTGGAAACAAAGAGTCAATTAACCAAAAAAAAATATAATTTTCAGTTTTTTAATGTGAAAATTTTCAATTAAAATCAATTCTAATTGTAATATATATACACACACACAAACCACATAAATATCTTAAAAATTATATCATTTGAATAATTAAAAAAACTTCACAGTATTATAAATTAATTAAATCAACTTAAATTAATGAATATCACACATATAAACACAATAATATTTGACAAATTTTACTCTATAAATTCAATCATATACAAAACTTTACATGATACATGTATTCTCTTAATTTTTTTCTAAATAGATTTAATTAAATACATAAATACACTTTAATGCCACGTAATTCATAAAATTACAAAAGATATATACAAAATGCCATGTAACAATACCTTCAATTGGAATGAATAAACATGTAATTATATACCTAAAAAGAAAAGAATGAATTAGTGCACTTTTTAAGTAAAAATTAGCAAATAGTAATGAATTTGAGAAAAGGAGGATGAGGAAATGGAATGAACATGAGAAGGAATCTAGAAGAAAAGGAGAAGGAATCTAGAAGAAAAGGAAGAGGAAATAGAGAGAGAACATGAAAAAAAAAAACCAAATGATTATGGATAACACTTGTAGGCTTTTGAGGAGGCTCACGAATGATCTGGTATTTTTCATGATTCTGTAGTATAAAGAACACTTCTGCTGGCTTCAACCACCTAGTTTGGGCGTCTCAAAACAACTTATTTATACCATACCTTGAGATTACTCTAACAAGTGAAACAATTTTTTCTACTTAATCACATGCACAAATTCTATTCAACAAGTGAACTTAAATAACTAAAACTAACATTAAAAAAAAGTTATGCACCAAATTAGAAAACTTAATCGTCAAAATTAAAATTCTTAGATGTTTCAATCAACTTTACAATTTCTTCATTTAATTAAAGAAAATGAACATTGAATCTCTAAGCTTATATAGAAACAACTTCAATGGAGCAACGGAATTCCTGAATTAGAACGAAGCATTAAAAACAATGGAACCTAACCGATTAACTAAAGAGAGAAAAAGCTTTAAACTCTTTACACGATTCCACCGTTTCCAATTTGCGAAAAAGATGAAAGCCAAACAAATTGTAGAGAGAACACTATTCCTTCGTTCATTTGAAATGCAGAGTCTTAGAACTCAATTCAGCATGAAGATAAGAAGCTTAGCTGTGGTGGAGACTACCGTCGAAGATGGGGAGGTAATAAGAGAGAAATGGAGAGAAATAGGAAGTAGAAGTGGTAAAAGAGAGAATGAAGGTGTAGACAGGGAGGAAGTATATTTGTATAGACATTGAATTATTTTTCAGCGCATTGCGCTTGAAAATAATATAAGTTTTCAAAATTAAAAGCAAAAAAGTGACATTTCAAAATTTTTCACCTGGCAGATGGCGGAGTAGTTCACTGGAAAATAAGCTGAATTTTGATATTACTTGAAAAGAGGGTGCCATTTCAAAACTTTTCACATGGGAAGGTCGAGTATACTTATTTTCTAGTGCTCTGCACTGGAAAATGAGCTGAATTTTGATACTGCTTGAAAAAAAGGCGGCATTTCAAAATTTTATTGGCGGGGAATGGTGCGACACTTATTTTCTATTGCAATGCATTGGAAAATAATATGAATGTCACAAAATACTTAGTTTCCAGTGTATTGTGCTAGAAAATAGTTTGAAGTTTGCATTAGAGCGGATACTTATTTTCCAGTGCAATGCACTGGAAAATAGTCTGAATGGTGCAAAGTACTTATTTTCCATTGTATTGCACTGGAAAATAGTTTGAAGTTTACATTTAATGCTTATTTTCTAGTGCTTTGCACTAGAAAATACTTCAAATGTTGAAAATTCAAAGAAACAACTTAGCACCTTTAATTTTTGGAAAATTGCATAAAATAAGTTCCTAGAAGGAGAGGCAGGATTTTGTAAATTTTTACTAAAATCACAATATACTTATATTGCAATCATATATCACAACAAGTGTTTTCTAACATAAGACAAAATATCCCTAGTTGTTTTTAAATAAATATGCTAGTACCTAATGACATATTCATCATATAAAGCCCCATATATATACACACACACACACACACAAAATATGTCATGTTCCATATTAAATACCTTAAAATACTTTATACTAATCTAAATACATAAATATATTTCACAGAGATAACGCAGGAAGTTACAAACAAATTAAACTCATAGAAGTAACAAATTAAACCAACAAAACCAATTTGCATAGCCAAAAAAACCAAAATCCATCTTAAGATCAAACCCAGAAAACAGAAAATCTAGAAATACTAGAGAATTGAACAAGATTACCTGAAAATCGAAGCAAAGAGCAAGCTTTGATCTTATTTATGCTAGGAATAATTTGATTAGCGGGGAGGCAAAACGATGGTGTCAATTGGGGATGCTAAGCTAAAAAAAAAGTCAGCAAATTAAAAAAAAAAATGGGAGAAAAACATACACATAGGTTGGAACCTTGTCGAAAATACCTTTTTCGTTGACCAAACAGTAAGAATTGAGCCAAAAACAGAGTGGCAACTTGGGGCACGACAGAGATGGTTGAAACTGGGAAAGCCAAAACAGAGATGAGGAAGGAAAGGGGGGTTTTGTAGGCCTAGCGGTGTTTTGTTGGGTTGGGGCGTTTGTTGGGCTTGGGACGGTTTTTTTTTTTTTTTTCAATTTTTTGAAAATAGGCAATGGGAGTTGGGAGTTGGGAGTTGGGAGTTGTGACGGATTGCAAATAATTGTAAGCAAAAATATTTTTCAAGGCACATTGTTGGAAAATATGGAAGTACAGTTACCATCACTGTTAACTTATTATTTTTCAACATGTTGCGCTAAAAAATATTTTTGGCCAATGTCAATTATTTTTTATAAATTAAATAATAGGGCCCGAAAATTTTTTCTGGTGTGTCATTATTTTTCAGCGTTGAACACTGAAAAATAATTATTTCAGTCAAATATTCATATAAGTTAAGATATTAACCAACAACCTTATTTTTCAATGCATTGCAATAGAAAATAGTTAATTATTTGCCAACCCAATCCTGCACTTGAAAATACCCACCGGAAAATGGACAAAATTCTAGTAGTGATTTTATTGTATAAACCTATATATAGGGCCTTTATATATATAATGAAAATAACAAAAAAAAAAACAATAAACCTTTCTTCAAATATTTCTCTTTCTTTTTTGTTTCTAACAACTAAATGTTTGAATTGTAAGAAGTAATTTTTTCTATTCAGGTGATTTAATCTGTGCATATATGTTGTAGTGATCTTCCTGACGTACTTTTTCAATGTTGGCTAAGTTGGCTGCGCAAGGAGAGAAGAAAAGCTCATGGTAATATTGGCACCTTCTTCCCTTCTTTAAGGAATGTCCATTTGATAATCTCCCCTATGTAGCTTTTTGTTGATATATTC